TAGAACAGGGGTTATTTAAGATAGATTATTCAGGGGTAAATAGAAATGGGGCCTTTATTTTAGGTTACACAAGATCATGTGACCTAAAGATAGGATTTCGCGCGAAATCTATGGACAGTTCTTAGGGACAGTGTGGACAGTGCGTGATCACATGATACTTTAGGGACAGTGTTATCATATGACTTAGTACAACGTAACTTTATGCGAACAAAATGAAAAAAATTTATTATCGATCAATACATCTATTTTCTAAATTTAAGTATTGCATTTAATAGATCTCGCTTAAATCTATGCACTATTATTTACTTTCTGTGTCTGTTTTACTAGTTGAACCACTTACTAAGAGAAATTGAGCAATACGATCTTGGATTAATAACTTCCATCGTGCTGCAGCTAAAGTGGGGAATTGTGTCCACCGATTAACAATTGGAGGAACAGGTGCACCAGGTTTCAATACCATGGCTACATAATGATTTTGATTAACAAAAGCGATTGCAAGTGCTTCATTTCGGTTCAATGGATGGTGATATGGAAGAAAGGTAAGGCTGATTTGTAGTGAGAAGAAGTATAACGGTCTTTTGTAAGCATTTGCTATAACATCACCCATTTGTGGCATTTTCATCCAGTGATCGAACGTGCAAGGGCCGCTCTCCCAAGAAATTTCTTTTAAAATCATATCATAATCATCATTTGCAAGAAACAATGATCGGTAAAAAGGCTCATTTTTATTTAATTCTTCAAACAATTCTTTTCTTATATTTGGCCATTTATTTTCATTTCTTCCTAAACTCACGGCCACTGCTCTGTACCCACAATTTCCATCTCCATCTACATTAACCACTTTTTTTATATATTCATGCATAAAAATAGGTATCTGATCGTAAAATAAAGGTTGTTGCGACTGTTGTAGAACTTCTACAAGTTTTGTCTCCGGTTTTTTTGTATTTTTTTCCTTTTTTTCTTTTTTTGATTTTTCTTTGGCTACTTTTTCTTGATGTTCACTAAGAAGAGGGTTTCGCTTAGTAGATTGTGGACATCTTTTAGGCAAAGTAGACACATTATGTAATGGTGCCTTTGGGACTGGAATTTCTTCAGTGACTAGTGCTTCAAGCTTATGCAAGAATGTGGCTTTCGACCCACTATCATTAAGATGTTCATATTTTTCTTCGAGCTTATAAAGAACTTTACTAATAGTCATGTCAATTGACAAAGATAATGGTATCGAAGGTACTGAATCATGTTTTAGATGCCAGCGTTTATGCACAAGGTTAAGTAGAACAGGTCCTGTTGGTGGAATGATGTGACGACATAGTAATTTATAATTCAATCTTAAGCTACAATTACAAGGGCTATCATTCACATTCTTATTCTCATCAATTTCACATACTTCTTTTTTGATTCTATCGATCGCCCATCTAGAAATTTTTCCAAGCAATAATTCAAACCTTTTGTCATTACGTATAAATGGATCAGCAGAAACAATGTTCGAGCCTAGGGCTCCATTCGTTTGTAGTTGGCATTGACGAAAGGCACGATCAATATGTAAAAATACTTGCTCCAAACCACTTGATGCTTCTATTGCCTTTTTTAGAGTGCTGTGACTTCCTTCCGCTCTCTGTGTCGACTGGGTTCCCATATATGGATAATTCTTTGTAAAAACATGCATCCAACACTCTGCATCTTTTTTCCATTCTTCAAGATAATTTTGAATATATTCAGGGTCCCTACTTTTCATTGTCGCTTGACTAACTTCTTTAAATGCTTTTTCAACTTCATTCATTTCTTCAGCATAGGCAACTTTCTGGACCGCCAACAGGAGTTCATTATACTCTTCATCTGAATCAAAAAATTTTCTACATGTGGTTCGTAAGTTTTGCGCAAGCATATGCCAAATGCATATCATTTTTTTTGCCTCTGGAAAAACCTTGTCTGCTGCTTTTCTAAGGGCCAAAGCCCTGTCTGAAACAAATACTTCTGGAGAACAAAAAAAAATGTCATAAATTGTCTCTTTTAAAGTAAGTAAAAACCATTCGTATGTGGGTTCTTGCTCATTTGCTACCCATGCCATTGCTATTTGATATGTGTTAAGAGCTTTAGCATTACCGATATTACTTATACCAACTGCATTGATGAGAGGTAACTTATATAAGTTCGTCTTATATGTTGCATCGATTATAAGCACCTCTGGACATATAGCTACTTGACGTGCAGCTTCAATATGTGTGAAAAATAAGTTTAACATATGGCCATCTTTTGTTAATAGATGACGAAGTATATATTGACGTTCCTCTAACATTTTTATAAGGCGCATTGTAGTGTCATGATTTGTGCCCTCATTTAGAGCATTTTTTATTCGGTCACATTCATTAATTATATCTTTTGTATATACAGTACCTTGTTTCCAGTGTATCGCATCAGCAATTGATCGAGTTGATGCCCCACTTTTAAGCATTATATGAACCAACTCTTTTTGCTCCGTATTGAGGTACCGATGTTGAGAAAGACAATAGATTTGAGATGGAATAAGTAGTTCATGATTATACACACTTTTGGAAGACGTTACTACCCAAGTTCTAGTGTTTTCATTTAAAGCAGCTCGTAAAACAACAGGACAATTTTGACGCTTTGAGAGTTTTTTTCTTTTTCAGGTCTCTTCATTAATTTTATGGTTATTTCTGTAGGTACCTCCCATTGTACATTGCAAAGTTATGAAAGGGGTGTGGCCACCTTTTCCACCACCTGACATTTTTGATGATGAAATGCTAAAGGCAAAACCCGCTGCCTTAGCACCTTGTTGTGCCACTTCCTTGAAGTTTTCTGCTGTTGGAAACTCATCGCCAACTTCCGGAATTTGTGGTTGTGATTGCGACATAATGAAACGATGAGTTTTATTTATTTTTTTTTATAATGATTATTTTATATAAAGGAATTAAACAGTTGTATTTTACTTAGCACAAAGTAGTTTATTCAAACACAATATTACTAGTGGCGATTTGATTTTTTTATTTATAATTTTTACGAATTCTATCCTTTTATACAATTGATTTTTTTTTTATAGCTAGGCACCATTGAATATAAAACCTTGGGAATATTCATAAGCAAACTAGTAGGTCTTAATATGTCCTTTATTTATGAAACCAAACTAACTGCTTTCCT